TGAATAGGTTGTTAGAGCTTCTTCAATCGATAGGAGTGAATTGATTGTACGAGAGTCAGTCAATTCACTACTTTGTACTGGAATCTGTTTCCAGTAGTGGAGTTCTGTGTTAATTGCCTTAGCGTTCTATCTCAGTGAAGACTAGTCGTCTGCCAGGTAGCCCGTCTGAGAGGGCTTGGTCAGCTTAAGAGATTCCAAGCTACTGTCAGATCTTCCGCAGTTTAATCAACAGTAAACCTACCAAAGGAAATTAAAAACTGGACCTAACTAAGAAGATATGGGGACTCATTCCCGAGTGACCCTTCTCTTGCTTTAGAAAATCAGACAATTTACTGCTTTCTTTCTGCTCTAGTTTGAATTCATTTTCACTAAACTTAGTCCCGTTAGATAATAGATAATCACGGAGTAGGTAGTACATCTAGGCCCTGGGTTGACATTTATTACTTGATTCCACTATACTGCATTTCCATTCTGCGATTACACTTGGTCGCAGTTCGGTGTTGTATCGTAGCGTGTCAAGAAGGAAATGTGAAGAACCAACATGATGACTTGAACAACAAAACTCGAGATGAATAACATCTTAGACGAGGTTGATTTTAGACGATTGACTCTCTCTTTGAACAACGTGATGATGGAGACGGTTGACTGCTTCTCTTGCCGCATCATGAACAGCGTGAATGCCCGGCTTGAAAAATGATCAATAATTGATAGTTTCCCAATCATGAACCGGAAGCGGGGATGACCATTTCTTGGATCGTGAATGCCAGCTGGACAATGAAGGGACGATGTCTGTTCTGATCGTACTACCTTTTTGAACGTCTGGGGACAACTATTTTATGGATCGTGAATACCTCATTACCCGAATGGTTGAAAGCGATCGAAGTGAACAAGTGGTAGCTGGGAGTGCTTGATTTTGGTGCTATAACTCATCTTCCACTGCCCAACGATAAACCCACATACAAAGGACTGCAATCAACAAATCTATGCTTGAATTGGAGTTTACGGCTCAACAACTCAAACGAAACCAATATGGTTACAAAGACGTGCAACTGCAAGGCTACAAAAGCACTAGACATTGACTTTGACTCTTTGCACAATAAGCTCTGACTTGTGCAAACACCAACACCACCACAAAATGTCAAAAACAATTACCTTTTGATATTTGTCCATATGCAAAAGCTAAGGCCCCACAACCAGCTGAATAATTTGAGCTAAGTCAAAATGAACAGTCAGGGGCAATGCTTAGAGAAGACGGCCTGAAAACAGCAATCGCAAAACCCGACTATCATGCCGCAAGAAGTATCATTAATGGTCAATTGACTCAGTCGAACAAATTATGTATTGGGCGCACTGAGTAACCCACCAATGACATCAAATAAACTTAGCAGTGTAGACAGTGATTTGAGGCCGGAAAAATCAAACCTTCATTGTAGATGACAGTTATAAATATGAATTGCGATCGTTGAGCGTGGCCTTCTCTGATTAGCGAGGGCGCTCATTAAAAGGCGACGACGTCGTGACGGAAGCTCCAACCGCGATGAGGATTGACTGGCCGGTGATGATATTGATGCAGCGGCCTCGCCTAACGACAGCGTCGATGGTGCCGTGAGACTTGAAGACATCAGCAGCGTAGTCTAGGACTGAGTTGCCTACAATAGAGGCGACGGAGAGCAGACCAGGACACTGACGGAGCTTGGTGATGACGACGATGGCAGCCGTGATGGCAGTCATGAAGGCTCGATGGTGCCAGAGATCCAGAATTGAACTGGAGCGGACAACCATGATGGCCCACCAAATTTGATGGTGATGGTGACTGTGATTTGGCATCTTGCGACTGGAAATAATGATGACCAGCGGAGGGGCCGGAGTAGTAACAACTTCCTTCCCGATTGTGGAAGATCATCTTCTGGATCTAGGCTGGTAGGAGATCACGGGATAGCTAGGGAACCGGAATGAACATCAGCTCTCTTGGACACTACCGTTGACCTAGCGATGATGAAGATGATGATGATGTACCTGAGGATGAGGCGGCTGTGGACTATGCTCAGCGGAATAACATCGATGATGAAGTGAACAAGCCAGCGGGATGAACTTTGCTGGTGCGCGGAAGACAAACTGAGCTATAGCTCTGATACCATGAAGAATTTGATGACACGGAATTGAAAGAACACAGGAGATAGGAGATTTTACGTGATATACTCGATCAATTGATTGATTGAGACTAATCCACGGTGAGCTCAAAAGAGCTCACGACTGACATTTTATTATTTGAGGACTACATTGTGATGGCTTGCTTATGACAGGTTTGTAACTAAGTCTTTATAGCGATATACTAGGGTTAAAACCCTAACGAGAAGATTCGAGTATGCCCAAGTATTTGTACCTACTACAACTCGGATTAGGCCCAACAAGGCCCAATACTAACATGGTTTGAGTAACCTCAACAAAGAGAGGCTCACGTTGTTGGTTGGGAAACTATCTGGAAACCCAAAGCTCAAGAAGGATTTGGTATCAGATATGCTCGATGTCTTAATATGTCTTATGATCAAACTTGTCTGACAAATCTTTAACAATGAGAATGATTTATAATTCAAGGTTTTGCAGGAAAAGTACTTCAAGCATAAGGACATGGTGATTGTTTCAATGAAGAAGTCTAACCAATCTAGTCTCTAGAAGACCGTTGTCAAAGCTATGCCCCTGACGAAAGAAGCCTAGTGTTGGAGCATTCAAGATGGAATGAATACAAGCTTTTGGAGACAGCCTTGGATCTATAATGGAATTGTGCTCGGGGACTACCTTCTCCATGACATTTATGAGGAGGAGAGCCAAACCAATGTTGCTGACTGGATTTTTGAGTAAGGTAATTGGAGATGGGACAGGTCCAAAGAGCTTCTTCTTGATGACATTCTCCTTTTGATTTGGGGCTGGAAAGGGACGGTAGATTTTGACTGAAATAAGCATACAACCTGGCAGCAAACATCAAAGGCGAGGATGGTAAAGCGATCTGGATGTCACTTTGGAGATTGAAAGGACCAAACAGAGCAAAACATTTCTTGTGGCTGGCTACGCACGAAAGACTCTTCACCAATAAGGAAAGAGTGAGACGGAAGATTGCTACCTCGAGCTGCTGCAATCACTGCAGATGTGAAGAGGAATCGATTGAACACATTTTGAGAAGATGTGGAAAAGAGACGGCCATTTGGGGAAGATTCAAGGACAAAATTGCCTTTAAGAACCACACTGCCACTTTCCAGGAATGGACGTTGAACAACCTAAAGCGCGAGGAAACAGGAGTTGATTTTGGCATTGTTTTTTGGATGATGTGTAAGCAGAGGAATGAAGAAGTCATGGAGGGAAGACCCTTTGCTGAGCAGGGACTCCAATGCAAAATTAAGGGTTGGATCAACATTATCGAGCAAGCAAAACAAAGGGACGAGAAGATTACACCAACACCAGCACCAAAGAGACACCTGCAAATCTCATGGCATCCTCCACCAGAAGGATGGATGCAACTTCAAACGGATCGATCGGTTCTTACCACATCTGGACGAGCTGCAGCAGGAGGGCTGATCAGAGACCATGAGGGAAAGTGCCATGAAGCCTTTGTCAGCAACCTGGGGATCTGCTCAATTACAAGTGCAGAATTGAAAGGAGTCGTGGAGGGTTTAAAGATTGCGTGGAACAAGGGCTACAAGAATATTCAGTTGAATATGGACTCTTCAATGGCTATTGCGATTGCTAAGCATCTTGATGATGATGAGCATCGACATGGGTTAATTGCCAATAAGATTAACCACTTACTTAGTCTTGAGTGGGAGGTTGTTATTAGCCATGTTTTTAGGGAGTCAAATTTTGTTGCTGATTCACTGTGTGGGACCTAGGATTTAGATATTGTTTGTACCACGACATCATGGGAGTTGCCCAATGTCGATTTACTAGTAATATAATCTAGATGCTCCGTCGTATGTCTTTCTATCCAAAAAAAAAGAAGAAACATTGTGAAGACGGTGAAATTTCAATCTAGCTTGACAAGGTTATAAAGATGAAAGAAATATTCAGAAGATAAAATTCTCACGATCTGTGGTTGAAGGCCGGTAGTAAGAACTTCACTTTTTTCCATAGAGCTGCAAACTTCAATCGAAAAAAGAATGTAATTAGCAGGTTGAACTTCAATAGAAGAAGGAACACCAGTTTAAATATTATTATACTATCTTTTCTCTATTAAGAATCTTTTTAGAAGCTCTAATAAGACTTTGAATCAAGTGATTTCTGATGCATATAGTTCAAACAAAGCTATGCTCTCTAGCAATCTCAATCGACAAAAACCTTCAACGTCGGCGTCCGCTCATCCTGGCTGGCCGCCGGATAGTTCTCAGTTAATGACACTTCAAGATCCTGATGTCGCTATGCTCGACCCTCAACCTATGACGTCTCCGTCCGAAATGGCGATAGACAGCACTGCAACGATCAGGCAGGACTCCAGCCAACAAAAGAACATGGACATGAAAGTCATGGCAACCTCCGCCCTTGTGAACACTGTAACGACCTCCCCCATGGCGACAGGGACCGGACCCTTTTCCTATGCCAGTGCTGTCTCCGAAGCCAGGAATCAGATGTCCTCGGAAATACCAGGTAACCAGTGGACGCCGGTAGGGGAGCATGAACTCATACCAGGCGATTTCAACGGTGAACCAACCTTAAAGATTTCGACCAGTTTCAAGAATAGACTTTGTGACCCATGGCAGAGAACCCTTGTGGTACGGCTGCTGGCGATTAAGGTGGGTTTCTCCACACTGTGGTCACAGCTTCGATCATAGTGACACCCGATTGGGCATACGGAAGTGAGAGATTTGGATCACGATTGCTTCTTGGTTAGATTGGAGAACGATCAAGATTATTTCAAAACTCTGACTGATGGGCCGTGGAAATTTTTTGATCATTATGTGGTTGTTCATCAATGGATACCGAAATTCAGAGTCTCTAATCCGCTTCCAAAAAAAATGATTGTCTGGCTTCAGCTCCCCGGCCTCCCGATTCATCTGTACCACAAGGAGGTCTTAATCTCAATTGGCAATCTGCTTGGACTCACGATCAAATTAGACTACCATACTCTGAATCAACAACGGGCCAAGTTTTCACGCCTTGCTATCGAGATTAACCTAGAGAAACCTCTGATTCCAAGAGTTCACCTAGATGGGGAATGGCAGAAAATTGAATATGAGAATCTCCTGGAGGTGTGCTTCAAATGCGGAAAGGTAGGACATTCATCCACTTCATGTCCTAAACTCAGGCTGGTGCTTCAAGGTGAGCGGCCGATGGTGGCCGGAATCTTGAACTCGGATAGCTCAGAACCGGCGGTAACGGAACCCAGCGCTGATTTCGAACCTTGGATGATTGTTTCCCGGAAAAGCCGCCGCAACAATCGCGACCAGAATAGGGAAGGGAAGGAAGAGATGGACGTTGGAAAGCAAAGTCAAGGGAATGGATATAAGGATGGAAAGAATAGATCTTTTAAGAAGGAAAGCAGAGATATGAATGGGCGGCCACACCTTCCTCAGCTCGCTTCCCAACGGGAAACTAACTATGAGACAAAAATCCCGACAGCTGGCAAGAATAAGGAAGCACCTAGAAAAGGAAAGGAAAAGCCACACTCGACCGCTAAGTTGCCGGCGACGAGAGGAAGACCAAAGCAGAGCAAGAGCTCCAAATCTCGCTTTGGGAAGATGAAGCAGAATATGCTCACGCCCCTCCAAATTTGGTCCCCCATGAAGGAGCAGAAGAGTAAAGGTAAAAATCGATTGGCCTCACTCATGCTCCAGGAGATCAATGAATGGACTAAAGGGGGAAAGGATGCGGAGATTTCAGAATCTCCTAAAGAACAAATGGCGGCATAAATCTTGATACCTCAGTCACTGGAGGCCTCAACTACGGCTCCCCCCACCTAATTGGATGTTTTCTTTTCCTCTCTGACTTCCTCTTCTCTCCCCATTTCCGTTCTGTTTATTTTATCCTTATGTCACAAATAAATGCTATCAAAGTATTGGCTTGGAATGTAGGTGGAGCAGGGATTAGAGCCTTTACGCACTCTCTGAAGCTGGTCATTGAGACGCAGCATCCAGATTTTGTCATTCTCCTCGAGCCACAAATCAGCGGCGATACTGTGAACGCCCTTTGTGATCGTTTGGGTTACTCCAATGTTCTAAGAGTGGAAGCTGATGGAAAGAAGGGAGGCATTTGGGTGTTCTGGAATAACAGGAAATTCTCGACAACTCTCACCTCATCCTGCAATCAACACATCTCTCTCTGTATTTCTCAAGGGAACGCGACACTTTGGATGCTCACGCCTATCTATTCATCCCCGCAACCGAGCAAGCAGCATAGTTTATGGAATAACCTAATCGAGTAAAGCAAGAGGATTGACATCCCTTGGCTGCTCACGAGAGATTTCAATGCATCCGCAGCCCGGAAGAGAAGAGCGGTGCCTCCTCATCTTCCACCTTGTTGAGTTGATCAATCTAGGTTATTTGGGGCCGCGTTTTACCTAGACCGGAGGAGATCAGATCAATAGCCACAAAGCTAGCAGAATCGACAGAAGCTTTTGCAATGCAATGTGGAATGCTGTGTTTCCCTCTACTTTTGTCTGCCACTTGACCTGGCTTCACTCTGATCATAATCCTATCTTGACCACAATTGCTCTCCAGGGGCCAACTCCCTCTGACCCTCGCAACTTTAAATGCAAAGTTGTTTGGTTCACTCATCCTAACTTCTTGGACTTTGCTGCAGGCAATTGGGGAGTCAACCTCATCCTTCCCCAAGCTTTGGGGAACCTTGCTGCAAAACTCAAGGATTGGAACTCCAATGTATTTGGGAATATTCAGCAGCCCGGATTCGAGGGGTGGAGATCATGCTTGCCGATTCCTTCGATCCAGGATTATCCAAACTCCATTCTAAACTTCAGGAGGATCTGGATAAAGTCATGGAGCAAGAAGAGCTTGTGTGGTTCCAGAGGGTCAGAGAGAAATATGTGCAATTCGGAGATGGAACACTGCATACTTCCACCAACAAGTTAACATCAGGAGACGTCGCAATAAGATTGGAGCTCTAAGAGATTTGAGTGGTGACTGGGTGGATGACCCCGAAATCCTTGCGTCTCTTGTATTTGATTACTTTGCTAACCTTTACCTGCATGATGATTCTGTTTATGCAGATAAGCTGCCCAAGCAAGCTTTCCCTAGACTGGACCAAGCTGATATGATAACCCTGCTTCGCCCGTTCACCATCATGAACATCCATAGAGCGGATTTTGACATGAAACCATTCCAGACTCCTGGTCTGGATGGTTTCCAGGTGACCTTCTACCAGCAATCTTGGAACACGATTGGCAAGACCCTCACGAATATGGCAATCCAGTTCTTCTCGATAGGGGTTCTTCCGCCAGAGGTCTCCGAGTCTACGATGGTGCTCATCCCAAAGGTTGACAGCCCGGAGTTGGTCACTTGGCTAAGGTCAATTTTGCTCAATAATGTCATCCTAAAAGCTATCACCAAGGCAATGACGAGCCGGCTCAAACCGATTATGAGGAAATTGGTCTCCCCCAGACAAAGTAGCTTCATCCCCGGCAGACAAACAATGGATAATATAATCATAGTGCAGGAGGTACTTCATACTTTGAAGAAAAAAAGAGGAAAGAAGGGCGGAATGGTATTCAAGATTGACCTGGAAAAGGCGTATGATATGCTTAGGTGGGATTTCTTGCGGGATACCTTGGGACTTCCAAGGAACTGGATAAGCTGTATAATGTACTGTGTAGAACAAAACCGGATGAGAATCTTGCGGAATGGGAAGCTCTCGCCACCAATCACTCCTTCCCGTGGATTTCGTCAGGGAGACCCTTTATCCCCTTATCTGTTTGTCTTATGTATGGAACTCTTATCTCATAGAATTGATGAGGCCTTTTTTAGTAAGCAATGGAAAGCCATTCACCTTACAAAGATGGCCCACCACTGACTCATCTTTTCTTTGCAGATGATATGCTCCTGTTTGCAGAAGCTGAATCTAGACAGATAAGGGTGATTAAAGAGTGTAAGAAAGACTTCTGCTCTAGTTCGGGACAACGGGTGAATTACAACAAGTCGATTATGTACATCTCCCCCAACGTGGATCGCACTAAAGCAAACCTTTAGAGGCGGAAAACAGGCATACCTCTCAAACAGGAACTTGGAAAATATCTAGGAATCGAGACCGTCCATGGTTGAGTCACCAAAGGACGCTATCAGGGACTCCTCTTGAGGATTCAGAAGAAGCTGGTACCGTGGAAAGCACATCGGCTTTCTTTGGCAGCGAGGTTGACCGTTGCTAGATCGGTAACTTCTTCTCTTCCCACTTACAACATGAGCTATGAACTAATCCCCGTTGGTGTGTGCAAAAGTATAGATAAGCTCAACAGAGATTTTATTTGGGGAGATGAAGAGGATAAAGCCAAGATGCACCTAGTAGCTTGGGAGAAAATGGTCCTTCCTAGGAGGCATGGTGGCGCTGGCTTGAGATCCCTCAAACAGGCGAATCTGGTGATGCTTGCTAAGGGCGGATGGCGGATGCTTAAAGAACCGGAAAACCTTTGGACCAAGGTCTTTAAGGGACAAGTATGGCCGCAATCGTGAAGGATTAGACATCATCCGACCTATTCAGGGAAGTTCGTTTACCTGGAAAAGCTTCTCTAAGGCTAACGGACTTCTCCGGAAAGGCTGTGCTTAGAACATTAAGAACGGTAGACACACTAAATTTTGGTTGGATATCTAGATTCTACAAGTACTTCTCAAAGATGTGGCCGTCAGCTCAATCCCGGAGGCCATGGAGGATCCCGTAATTGCAGAGTTTGTGACGCATGAAGGGTTTAGGCGGACAAAACTTTTTGCTGACCTCCTCCCGTATGAGGTGCAAATGAAGATCCTCACCTGGGTGGTGGACAAACTCTCTTATGAGAATGACACTATCTTTTGGAGTGCCTCCTCATATGGCAATTTCTCAGCTAAGTCAGCTTACAACCTTCTAAACCAAGACACTGTAAATCAGGATGAGAAGTATTGGAAGATGATTTGGAGCCTCCCAGTCTCGGAACGTGTCAAGAGCTTCCTTTGGCTAACTTGCCTAGGAAGGATTGCGACTAATATGCTTCGATTTTGCAGGAAATCTACAGCCAACCCCTTCTGTGTGCGTTGTCATGGCCAACCAGAAAGCATTTTACATGTTCTCAGAGACTGTCTGCCAGCCCTCTTTTTCTGGAGCAGGCACGTTCCAAAATCGAACCAACACTCCTTTTTCAGTGCCAACCAAAACAATTGGCTTCAAGAGAATATGGGCAGCACCGAGACTGACATTACAGGAATGCAGTGGGCAGCATTTTTCAGTGTCACAGTGTGGTGCCTTTGGAAGAATAGATGCTCTGCTTGCTTCAAAGGTCTTACTTCAGCTTTATCTCCGCCTTCTCTTGAGAATGCTACTGTAGTCATGGCAAAGCTTTGGCACAAAGCTTGGCATGCAAATACAGCTCTCCCTGGCAGCAGGAATCATCCGGTCTTGCGAGTGATGCAGAACATTGGGTGGAAGCATCCACCTACTGGTTGGTTTAACCTTAATATTGATGGGGCGTCTTGTGGTAACTCAGGACCAGTCGGTGCAGGAGGTTGCATTCGGGACAGCGCAGGACGGTGGGTTTCAGGCTTCGTGATTAACATAGGCTCGACTACAGCAACTTTGGCCGAGCTATGGGCCTTCTTACATGGACTAGAAGTTGCTTGGAAAAGAGGATGTCTTACTCTGAAGATTGAGTCCGACTCAAAGTTAGCCATTGAGCTGATCAACAACCGGCTGGATCAAGTTCATCCCCACTCAACTCTCCTCTCAGCCATTCACAGAAAACTAAGTCTAGACTGGCTGGTGACCATCACTCATACATACCGGGAAGGGAATAGAGTCGCAGACTGGCTCTTGAAGCATAGTCTCGTCTATCCCTACGATTTGCATGAACGTGCAAACCCGCCCACAGGCTTAGGAAGGATCTTACAGGATGACAACATGGGCATCACTTTTGAGCGACGAGTTGTCGTAGAGCCTCCTTCCTCTTCTATTCATTCTGCTACCCTCGTGTAATATGCTTTCTTTGGCTTAAGCCTCCTGGTAATGCAAAAAAAAAAAAAAAGACTTTGAATGTAATTATATGATCTTCTATCATATAATTGACTTTGTTAATTAACTTATCTGGTGATTACAAACTGTCAATAAGAATGTTATTTAATTTTGTGATCCCGCATGATAGAAATGAATGATATGGTTGAGCATATAAAAAGCTGAGTGGGGGGAGCTGGGTTTGATGGTCCTTGAAAATCCCTAATTATTCATAATCATCATCTTATATACTATGAATTTCTATACACATTTATCTTAAAAGATAAGTTGGAGAAGGCCTATAATAACAGCACGCAAGATTATAATTAAGGTCAATTTGATTCGTTTTTCTCGGCATGTTTTGATCCATTGTTGTACGAGGTGACGCATATTCCAATTCTGCCATATTTCACTCACACGTGAGTCATTCTATAAAAATTGCAGAATTGTTTCCTCATACTTATGTTATTTTGACCTCTCAATAAAATAATACAGCTACACATTTACGCGGTTCACTAACACCATGTCTATGAGCTGGTCCACGAGCAGGAGACCGTCGATTTCACTATATTTGAGAAGGTACAAGTTATATAAGGAGTAAGAAGTATATATAATCTTCTTTTTCAAAGAGCCTAACCCTAATCCAATCAAAAGAGACTCTCGTAACTTCGAATCGACGTTAAATAATCCGATTCAATTCATATCAAGCTATATTGTACCGTTTGACAGA